CAAGGATGTAGAACTGAGTCTGGCCGGAACGGACGAAGAGCGAGGGGTCTGCAGACGACAGGAAGAACTGCAGGTCAGCAAGTGTAGCACGCAGGGTGTCGTGCCACTCACGGGGCGCCTGTCACAAGCCGCAACAAGAGCCGACAGACTTGAGACAGGAACGGACGGGTCGGTAACATGAGAGGAAAGGACACGAGGAACAAGGGGATGCACAGCACGGAGGAAGTCGGAGAACGGGGGCGGGGCCACAGCAAGCGACGACGGAGGAGGAGATGAGAGGAGAGGAGGAGCACGAGACGTATTGGAGCGAAGCAACATAGGGTGAGACCGCTGAACAGGGGAGGTAGGATGAGCACGAGATGGACAACGAGACCAGACGTGAGACGGAGGAGTCGGGTCAGGAGAGAGGGGAGGAGACACGGGTGGAGAACAAGGAGGGAAACGAGCCGGAGAGTAGTCCGGAGGAGGAAACACTGGGCCGTAGACCGGCGGAGGAGGAGGCGACGACAATGGAGGAGGCACTGGCAGGCGGTAGGGGGAAGGAAGCCCGAGGAGGCGAAGAGCGGACACCGGCGGCGACTGCTGCGACTGCTGCCCGACTCCAACACCAAAACCTCAAGCGATAGCACGGCTCCCTCCGAGAAGCTCCACGCCAGCACCCCCAAAACGGGAACCCGCTCCAGTACCCACTCCGGCATGCTCCACAGCACCCCCAGAACGCACAAACCCCAGCGGCGGTGACGACAGCGGCTGCAGCTGCGGCAGCGACGGCAGCTGCAGAGGCGACTGCGGCTCGGACAGCAACATCGGCGATAGGGGAGGAGAGACAGGGGCAGGGACAAGCAGAGGAAGAGACTTCGCCGAGCCGCAAGAGTCAGCAGACTGCTCGGCAGGGACAACAGATGAGAGGGGGGTGACGTGAGACACAACAGATGGGGCAGGATGGGGAGGGGGAGGAGCAGGGGCGACTGGGGGAGGGGGGGGAACCAGGAATTGGGGGGTAGTGATCGGGGGACCACGGTGGGGAAAGCGGTGGTAGAAGGAGACGGACTCGTCAAAGGTGACGTCGCGAGAGTGAAAGAAACGATGAGACGGCGGGTGGTAGAATTGCCTGTCAAACGAGTTGAGGGTGAAACCTAGGAAGACATAAGGGACGGTGCGGGCTGTAAGCTTGTCCGTGCCAGAGGCATGAACGTGAGCAAGGCAGCCCCAGACGTGGAACGCAGATGCGTCACCAGGAGACCCGGTCTAGAGGAGGGTCGGCAAAACCTGCGGCCGCTGAGAGTGTAGCCACAGGTTAAGCTGGTGAGCGGCGTTGCGAACAGCGAACGGCCACAGAAAATGGGGTGCATCGGCATGGATCATGGAGGTACGAGCCACCTCCATGACCAAACCGATGTGTCGCTCAGCGACCCCATTCTGCTGCGGGGAGTCAGGCAGAATGAACGTCTCCGTGATGCCCTCCGCACGACAGAAGCGACCAAGGCAGCCAGAGGCGAACTCGCCACCACGGTTGGAGTGAAGACGCAACACAGGGAGACCTCGGTGAACACGCGCAAAGACAAGCCACGGGAGAAGTACGTCATGCACATCGACCTTCCGCTCCAGGGGAAAAATCGTGGTGTAGCGCGTGTAGTCGTCGACAAGCATTAGGAAGTAGCGCTCTCGACGCGGCCCATGGACGGGGGCGGGGCCCTAGATGTCCATGTGCAGGGTCTTCAGCGGTGCGGCGGTGGGGGGGAACGAGGAGCAGTGAGGGGCACGGCGGAGCCGGCTTTCGACGCAGAGCGTGCACGGCGGCGCTGGTGAGGAGGGTAGCATGGGGGACGACTCGGGGAGACCTAAGACAAGACCGTGCTGAGACATGTGACAAAGACGTGTGAGGGCAAGGTGACCTAGACGGTGGTGCCACAGAATTGTCGGGTGAGTAAGCGATCGACACGAGCAAGCCACAGCAACCTGGGTAGACGCGGACATTTGGGTAGACTTTCCAACCGGGGGGGACGCGGTGTCCAGTGTGAACAGGCCAGACACCGGGTCCCGGGGGAACGTGGTGAGGGGAGCACCAGTGGCGGCCTCAGTACAGACAGCGTACTGCTCGTGACCAAGGAACGTAGTGGTGACGCCAAGGTCCTGGTGGCAGCCGACACCAACTAGGTTCCTAGAGAATGAGGGGAGGTGCAAGCCTGTAAGGGAGCCCGAAGGAACCACCGGACAGGGAAGGGTGGTGGAGCTACGGGGGACTACAGGACATGAGGAAGGGTCTGCAAGGGCAACTGCGGCAGGAGCGGCAAGCGGTGTAAGCGTAGTGGAGTCCCGAAAGAAACACCGGGAAGCTCCGGAGTCCAGTGTGACGGAGAGCGCGGTATGGGTCGTAGGAGCGAGGGTGGAGCCAAGGCTAAACAAAGCAGGGGATCCTACGCCTGATGCAGTAGGGGAGTCTGAAGTGGGCATACTAGGCACACCTACACTAAGCAAAAAGGGGTAATAGGAACCAGTCACACTAGAGTCATCGACATACAGCACATACAAAGCAGAGCTAATCTCATCCATGTCCATATCAAAGATCCTAACACCACGGCGGAGCAGACAGTGCCAGTCGGGGAGGTCCAACGCTGGGCCGAAGCGGAGACGAAACAGGTCGTCTAGTCGACTTAAACCACGAGTAGGGGTATGGCCGATCTTACTGCACATGAGGCCGCGGTGAGGACCGGTCTGGAGCTGGTACTGGCTTCGCCCGTCACTCGGACCACCACTCGACGTCACGCTGCACGCACGACTACTGCGACCACCTCCACGACCAGCACCAGGCCACTCGGGCGGGAGACGGGCGACCCACCGCTGCTGCTGCTGCTGCTGCTGCTGCCACTGAGGCTGCGGCTGCTGCTGCTAGTCCAGTTGCGGCGCCTGCTACGACTACTGCTGGGGCTACTGCTCCTTGGCACCAGCACCCTCGTCTGTACTACCAGCAGGCGAACCACCTGCCCCCCCTCCTCCGCTACCTCCGCCGCGCCTAGCCTTAGGGCGGCGACCCTTACCCGGGCGAAACTGCGCTGCGGTAGCCGTGGGAACTGTCTCCGCAGCAGAGGCTGTCTCAGCGACAGTAGCAGAACCGTCGGAGTAAGTGCACTGAGCGGGGGCACAGCCCTGAAAGATAGTGACCGGCACAGTACCGCTAGACTGGGCGATAGAGCGGTGACGAGTCTCTATGGCAGACAGGGTGTCAACAAAGTCAGTAAGGGTGAGGTCAACGGGGTGGAGACTACGAAAGTGATCGCGGGCAGTGGCAAGGCGGTCAGGGAGGCGGGTGGCAAGCAGGTAGAGGGTAGAGCAGATGGGGGGCTGAAACACACGAAGCTAGGCCTCAGTGCAGGCATAGCGTCAGGTCGCGTCTAGCGTGCGCAAGTGGGCGGCCAGGTCAGCGACAGTGGAGAAAGACGCTAGATCAGGAAAGATCATGAGCTGGATCAGGCGACCGACAGAGGCAGAGGGCGGGGTGGAATAGCTTGCGAAAACAGCCTCTTGGAACTCCTGCGCAGTCTTGACTAACCTAAAGCAGGGGCGCTCAGACAGGGGGAGGGCATGACTAATCGGGATCTGTGCGACAACGTTACGCGACAACCAGACAGCATAGGCAAGGGCAGCAGCGGCAGCGGACTCACGGTCAGCAGACGAGGTGTCAACGGGTAGAGCAGCAGGGGGATCAGGGCAGGGGAGCGTACTGTCGATGTGGACGGCCAGGGAGTGGCTGTCCTGCCGCTGACCAATAAGGGGACGGCGGAGGTCGACGAGCCACGTGTCGAACTCAACCGGCTGACCCTCCGCGTCAAAGCGCAGCACTGAGTCCGCCATCATGATCGCTGCAGCAGCAGAAAGGCGGTAATGGGCTGTACTGAGCGACAGAGTGCGGAGGGAAGCAGTGGTGTGCGGTGCGGTGCAGTGCGGTAGACAGAAGTAGAGTGAGGTGCAGTACGGTAGGGTGCGGTGCAGTGAGGTGCAGCGCGGGGCAGTGCGGTGCAGGGCTGTGGAGTGCGGTGGAAAGGGCCGATAAAGCTAGGTGGGGGGCGAGGGGGCAGCTGAGGGACGGGGCCGCGAGGATGCTGGGCGGCAAGGCCGCGGGGCGGCTGGTCAACAGGGGCCACGTGGCGGCTAGGAGACAGGGCCGCATGGCGGCTGGAAGATGGGGCCGCGTGGCGGCTGGGAGACAGAGCCGTGGGCAGCGAGGCGACGGGGCCGGCTAGGCGGCTAGGTGTTGGGGCCGGCTAGACAACAGGGCCGGCGAGGCGACGGGTCCGGCTAGGCGGCGGGGCCGGCTGGGCGACGGGGCCGGCTAGGCGACTGGGCCGGGGCTAGGCGACGGGGCCGGCTAGGCGACGGGGCCAGCTGGGCTATGGGGCCGGCTGGGCGACGGGGCCGGCTGGGCAACGGGGCCGGCTGGGCGACGGGGCCGGCTAGGCGACGGGGCCGGCTAGGCGACGGGGCCGGCTAGGCGACGGGGCCGGCTGGGCTACGGGGCTGGCTGGGAGACGGGGCCGGCTAGGTGACGGGGCCGGCTGGGCTACGGGGCCGGCTGGGCAACGGGGCCGGCTAGGCGACGGGGCCGGCTGGGCTACGGGGCCGGCTAGGCGACGGGGCCAGCTAGGCGACGGGGCTGGCTAGGCGACGGGGCCGGCTGGGAGACGGGGCCAGCTAGGCGCTACGTGACGGCGGCCACTAGGGGATGGGCCAGCACCGGCGGGAGGGCAACGGGGCGGCTAGGACCTGCGGCGGAAGCGCTGGTGGACGGGGGGGACCTAACCTACTCATGATACCATGTCAAAGTTAACAAAAATGACTAGAATCATGGCATACAAGGGGAAAAACCTAGTGGGTTGTACTCTCTAAGGCACAACCCTCTGTAGTCTATAACAACATACGAGGATATGTTTGACAGCAGTACCTGTATGTCTGTCTCAGGGTCCTTACGCGCTGTGCTCTGAAAACTCTGTATCCGCAAACTGCCAAGTCTGAGATTCTCAGGGTTAAAAAACATAACTCTGAAGGGTTCAGCATTCAGAAAATGGCAAGTCAGAAAAATCAGGATCGGCCAAAAATTTGGTCTGAAATTTCAGACAATCAGACTCAAATAGTCTGATAAAATCAGCCCTGATATCCGGGCAAATACGGTAGTTGAAATCCGAACTTGGGGCGTACATGGTAGCTGCTTCTATGGATGAACGGCTTATGGTGTCGTACGTAGCATAGAATGTCATTGCGACGAACGCATATGACCTGTACACGGCGCCAGAAAGGGAGCCAGTGAGAGGGGGCAGGGAGGGAGCTTCTTGCACCCATCCACGCGCAAGCAGCGGAATGCAGGGAACTCAGCCAAGTACTCGGGCCAGGAATCCAGCACCCCGCAGTTGACCACATCCAACCGCTCTAACGACGTGAACGTCCTCACGAATGCCGGCACACCGCGGATCTGCGCGAATCTGAACTGCAGCACCCTCAGACTCGGGGGGCACCCCACCCGCCCCGGAGAGAGCTTCCTGTCAGTGGCGAGCAGCGAAAAGTAGTTGAAGCGCAGGGTGTGGAGGGAGGAGAAGGCAGTGAGGGACGAGAGCAGTGCGCTCACGTCGCAGTACTTGTCGATGGTCAGTGACATCAGGGCGGGCAGCACCACAAGCGGGACCTTGGGGGACGGGTCTTCCAAGTGGAGAAACTTCAACGAAGGCGCGGTTCTCTGGAGCAGGTAGGCGTGGTTGCGCATGGGGCAGCGACTGACGAAGTGGGTGAGGCGCGGCATGGCGCCCAGCCACTGCCCGTTGCCCCACCCGAACGCCCCCTCCACGCGGAACAGCTCCAGGAAGCGCAGGTTGGGGAAGAAGCACGCGCTGGGCGGCACGCGGGCGGCGAGCTCGACGTTGAAGGCGAAGGAGAGGCGGCGCAGCGCGGGGCAGGCGATGAGGGCCAGGTGCACGGGGTGGTGGCCCGAGGAGAGCAGGCGCAGGGACGTGAGGGCGGGGGGCAGGAGAGAGGGGATTGTGGTGGCTGCGAGAGTGGGGTGAGGTGGCTCGGAGGCAGCACTGGGGGTGTTGGTGGTTTGGGGATTAGAGGTGCTTCCTGCTCGTGCTGCTGCTCCTGCTGCTGGTCCTACTGCCGCTGCTTCCACTCCCTGGCCGACGCTCAGCGCCCCCGTGCCGATCTCCAGCTCCCTCAGCGCTCTGAGTGAGGGGATGATCCGCCCCGGGTCGCTCTTGGCCCACGGCACCACCAGGTGCGCCAGACACGGCAGCCCGTGCAGCGACACTGGTACTGCATAGCCTGCTGCACAGGAAACTTCCAGGAACGTGAGCTGGGTGAGAAGCGAGAGGCTGTTCAAGTCTTCCCAGCCGTGTGCCGTCGTGGTGCTTGGGGGGAGCAGACGGAGGGAGCGCAGTGAGGAGAGGTCAAAGAGAGAAGGGGGGAGGGAGGTGGGAGAGGGGGGGGGGTAGCCAGGGGGGATGAAAGTGAGGGATGTGAGAGAGTGAGAGAGGCCGGAGAAGAGGTCAGGAGGGACAAGAAGAGGAGCCAGAGAGGTTGAGGACATGGTAGCGTTGGCACTGCTGCTGGTGACGTTGCTGCAGCTTCTGCTGCTGCTGGAAATGGTAACAGCAGCACTCACGGTGCTGCTGATGGTGGCACGGGGGGTGCTGGTGCTGCTGACTCCCAGATGCAGCCAGAGGGACGAGAGGCGCGTGAAGCGCTGGAAGGGCGCTGGGGACGCGAGGAGCAGGGAGCAGGTGCTGTCATCCACGGCGAGGTTGAGCGAGGTCAGCTGGGTGAGGGTGAGGAGAGGCGGGGGCAGCTGGCCCACGGGGAGCGACAGGTGGAGGAGGCGCGAGAAGGCGGCGAGGGTGGGAGGGGCAAGGCGGAGGAAGGAGTGCTTCGACTGGAGGTGGAGGGATCGCAGGTGGGGCAGGGCGTGCAGGAGGGCGGAGAGGTCGGCGCTCAGGTCCAGTTCCTGGGGAGGCCGGCTGGCCGTTGGCTGTGTGCTCAGCTGCAGGTGCAGGGCGCGGAGGCCGCTGTGTGAAGGCAAGCAGGACAGTATCACTTTGGCATCGTCCGCTTTGTGCATGTTTAAGGGCAGGCACGCGGACGTGAGGTTCGGGAACTGCTGCAGCAAGGTTCGGATGTGGTTCGGTGAGAAGCTTCGGTGGTAAGGCTCGTGGGCCATCCAGCCTGGCCGGGCCTGGCTGTTGAAGTCGAACCTGTCCGGGTGGTTCACATGCCAGCCGTTGGATGCCAACGGATCCCACCAGCTGGACAATCCAACGGTGCTGATGCAATCCTGGTTCCTTGCTTCGCTGAGCGATCTTGAACCGTCTGCTGCAGCCGCGCCTTCTCCACTCTTTCCGTTTCCACCGCGTGAATCCATGAGTCGGTGTGTGACTGTATCGAGGTCTGTGTATATCGGGTGGAACGACGGCTGCCACTGTAGCAGAGCGGGATCCAGCTGGAGCGACACGTGGCGGGTGGAGCCGTGAAAGGCGTTGTGCCACGCCTTGCACACGCAGCTCGCTCGCACAGCGTCGCGCGCGTCGCCCAAGCGACAAAATACAATTTCCAGGCAGTCGCTCGACAGGTTTTGGAACACACCCTGGCCCTGCGACGTCGCCAACAGGTCTTCTGCGGCATCGCAGGCGAGAGGTGCCGTTTCGCACGGTAAATTTGCGACAGGAACAGCCGGGGAAGCTGCCTCGTCAGCACAACCCGTGGCTCCGTCTGCGTTCCGCCTGTTAGCGGCAGCAGCAGCAGCAGCAGCCGTCCCTTTCCCCACAGCGGCGTTCTTAGCCTTGCGCCAGAGCGACACGACGCGGGTAACTCCTCGTCGAGATTCCTTGGCCATCGGACGGCTGTGCGGCGACCATGGCCAGATGCCACCTGCGGACGACGACATCTGTCCGTTGATACGCGAAGCTTTCTACCTTTTCGCAAAACTTGGGCCCCGCGTAAGACGGCAAGGAATCCGAAGCACTTCACAGCGAAGACGGTAAGGGACGAGAGGAACCAAGGTTCCTGAGGGATCTGAGCGAATGCCAATTTCTGGCGAAATCGTCAATTTCTGTAGGCTCGTTTGCCTAAAAGAGCCTCGCTACTAACAGTAGCATGCTTCGCCGGTTAGCGGTTAGCGACTCCAGTTTTAGCGATTCGCTACGGTGGGGCAAATGAGGCTTCGGCTACAGTCGGTCGGTTCTGGCTAGAGCTGCGATGACTGGTGGGTCGCCGGAGGCAACGCAACTCAAGGGTAATTTGCTGACAGATCAGCAACTTTGAGCTGCGAGATTTCTCAGACATGAACATTAGCGTGGTTTTCTGAACTGAACGGAAGGGGGCTCGTCTTCAGTACATTTGCGGTGAACATCAGCACATCGCGTTTCAGCCAGGAATACACATCAGAATTCGTTTCGGCACATCTCGTTTCAACCCGTTCTGACGCGCAACCCACTTGTTATTCCCTATACATCGAAAACATATTTGGTGGACACTCTAGATCGTTTGATACCTTATAAAACCAGTCACGCTAGAAGAAAATATACACTAACTAAATATTATGTTCACCTTCCCAAGCTTGAAAACGCCAAAATAAACAACATAAAATAGCATTTTGTACATTTATAAGAAGAAAAAATCCATTTAACAGTATAACATGTAGGTTAGTCTTAATAAGTATATAAAAAATCCACTTTGTCCAATTGTATTTTCTGGAATCTTCATGCCTGAGAAAGGGAGCATGCTATTTCATTCAGGTATGATTGAGCTACGCATATGGTTTTCTAAAGCATCGAAACGAAACAATTTAGATTGTCCAACAAATATGTTTACAATATACAAGACTACAAGTCACATATGTTTATCGCAATGATATTCTATGCTACGTACTACACTATAAGTCATTTATCCATAGAAGCAGCTACCATGTACGCCCTGAGTTCAGATTTCAACTATACTGTTTGGATTACAATCCTAATTGTGCGACTAAACGCGTCCGTTATAATTGGAGGATGAGCTTTGACAAACCTCGATCTGTCAGACCTCGTCAACCAATGCGCCAAGCTCGATCCACTTTATCGTAGACAAAATTATGGATCCGAAATCCAGCCATTCAAGAAATGCCACACTCTGTAATGAACAAACATGGATTGGCTCGCAAATATTGTTTCGAGCGTTCGAGAAACAAACCTGGATTCGCTTAAAGCACATATCCCAAAAACCCCGAAAGATAAGTCCTAAGTTTTTGAGATCCAACCTCCGTTCACACGGTTACCCCTTTGCTGGGCGACAACCCAAAATCCAACAAGAACTCCATTGATTGGCCCCCACTCCATACACACCCCCTCCCTGCCATAATCCCACCTCTAATCCATCGCCTACCTTCCCCTTCCAGGTTAAAAAACTATACCATCGAGCAGTTTCCGGACTACCTCGCCCAGGCAACTAGACACACTAGATCTTCTAGCGAAAAAAATCGCCCGTAGCATGCGATTTTACGCCGTACCGTCCTCCCACCCTTCCCGTCACGACCAGCCCTCCTGCTAAAACGCGAAATGAATTCTGGTATGCACCCTTGGCTGAAACGCGATTTGCCGATGTGTCACCTCCAAAGTACGGAAAAAACGAGCCACCCCCCCATCAGATCAGAAAACCCCTCTAATGTTGATGATTGAGAACTGTTTGTGGTGCGTCAGATTAGAAAGATGCTGTTTTTAGGTTGAGAGAACTGATCTACACCGTACAGATCAGCCGCTCAAAGTTGCTGATCTGTCAGCAAATTACCGTAACAACTAATGCCAATGTTGTGCTGTCAGTGCAACAACACTGCTCAGCCTACTGCCGTGGGAGGGACCAGTCCGCTAGGCTGATTGGTGGCTCCAGGGCGCTGTGGGTCTGGCAGTCTGTTAGTCTGGCCGCACGCTCTGCGTCACAGCATCATGCTCTGATTCCGCGTGCGCGCGTTACGAATCGCCGCGGTCAGCGACTCGCCGCCTGCTCAGTCTCCGACCGTATCGTCACTTAGCACCGCCGCTTCAAGGCTCTTTCGCGCGACGCAGCTGCGCACGGCAGCGCGGCGAGTTTCGTCGCGTCCAGCGGCGCCATGAGCCCCACGACGCCACTTCAGTTCGAGCACGCCCCTTCACACGCCCTCCCCGCCCTCGCCGCAGTTCCCAGGCCTTCCCCGCTGTAGGACAGCTGCTCTGACAGCTCGCCATTGGTTGAGATCCGATCTGTGGCGGCACTGTGCCTGAGGCAAGACACGGAGGTCGAGTGGACGCGGCAGTGGGGGTACGCCTCTCCCGTCACCGCCGTCCAGACTCGCACCTCCAACGCTAGTCGCTCGCACCTCCAACGCTAGTCGCTCGCACCTCCAACGCTAGTCGCTCGCACCTCCAACGCCAGTCGCTCGCACCTCCAACGCCAGTCGCTCGCACCTCCAACGCCAGTCGCTCGCTGCACGGCAAGGCGCGAGCGTCCTCGCTGCTGGGACGCCGCGATTGAGGCGGGGAGAGCGGAAGCGGGCTGGCGATCCACCTGCGGGCGCGCGGCGGCGACGAGTGCACGCGCGCGCTACGGCGTCAGCGCCGGGGTTGGCGGAGCACCTCTTGGCGAACGCCTCCGCCGCGGCACGCATGCGCTCTGGGGCCAGACGGGCGGGGCTGTGCTTCTGGTAGCGCGGCGCAGCGGAATCCATTCCCTAACCACACGAGCGCCGTGGCGTGCCGCCCACCAGTCGCCATGTAGACGTGTGCGCCGCAGCACCTCGCGAGCGCCAACTGCTGTAGCGCCCTTCACCTCCACCTCCTTCCTCATACATGCAGCAATGGCGCGTGGGACGCCGATGGAAGGGATTCTGACGTCGATGCACGCCGCACGCCTTGCAGTGCCACGGCTGGGCCAAGGTCCACGGACACTGCTGACGTGGCTGCTGCTCCTATCCGCGTGCATCCAGGCCCATGTAAGCGAACACCCTGTACCCGTTTGAGAGTATCCGTTCATGAGAGCACCAATATCCTTACAACAAAACATTCGCCTGCGTACCACGTTGATACCTGTGTGGAGCTGTGGTGAGTCCAAGTGATTGTACACTCGTGCGCACACACATTGGCCAGCATCCCTCGCAACACTGCTTCTCCCTGTTAGACTTGCAGGCCTCTCCTCCTCCCGCTCCTTTCCGCCACCCTCCTCCCGCTCCTTTCCGCCATCCTCCTCCCGCTCCTTTCACACTATGGCCAGCAATCGCTCTCCCAGTTGAGTTCACACTGTGGCCAGCAATCGCTCTCGCAGTTGAGTTCACACTGTGGCCAGCAATCGCTCTTGCAGTTGAGTTCACACTGTGGCCAGCAATCGCTCTCGCAGTTGAGTTCACACTGTGGCCAGCAATCGCTCTCGCAGTTGAGTTCACACTGTGGCCAGCAATCGCTCTCGCAGTTGAGTTCACACTGTGGCCAGCAATCGCTCTCCCAGTGGAGTTCACACTGTGGCCAGCAATCGCTCTCGCAGTTGAGTTCACACTGTGGCCAGCAATCGCTCTCGCAGTTGAGTTCACACTGTGGCCAGCAATCGCTCTCGCAGTTGAGTTCACACTGTGGCCAGCAATCACTCTCGCAGTTGAGTTCACACTGTGGCCAGCAATCGCTCTCGCAGTTGAGGTTGAGTTCACACTGTGGCCAGCAATCGCTCTCGCAGTTGAGTTCACACTGTGGCCAGCAATCGCTCTCGCAGTTGAGTTCACACTGTGGCCAGCAATCACTCTCCCAGTGGAGTTCACAGTGTGGCCAGCAATCGCTCTCGCAGTTGAGTTCACACTGTGGCCAGCAATCGCTCTCCCAGTTGAGTTCACACTGTGGCCAGCAATCGCTCTCGCAGTTGAGTTCACACTGTGGCCAGCAATCGCTCTTGCAGTTGAGTTCACACTGTGGCCAGCTATCGCTCTCGCAGTTGAGTTCACACTGTGGCCAGCAATCGCTCTCGCAGTTGAGTTCACACTGTGGCCAGCAATCGCTCTCCCAGTGGAGTTCACACTGTGGCCAGCAATCGCTCTCGCAGTTGAGTTCACACTGTGGCCAGCAATCGCTCTCGCAGTTGAGTTCACACTGTGGCCAGCAATCGCTCTCGCAGTTGAGTTCACACTGTGGCCAGCAATCACTCTCGCAGTTGAGTTCACACTGTGGCCAGCAATCGCTCTCGCAGTTGAGGTTGAGTTCACACTGTGTGGCCAGCAATCGCTCTCGCAGTTGAGTTCACACTGTGGCCAGCAATCGCTCTCGCAGTTGAGTTCACACTGTGGCCAGCAATCGCTCTTGCAGTTGAGTTCACACTGTGGCCAGCAATCGCTCTCGCAGTTGAGTTCACACTGTGGCCAGCAATCGCTCTCGCAGTTGAGTTCACACTGTGGCCAGCAATCGCTCTCGCAGTTGAGTTCACACTGTGGCCAGCAATCGCTCTCCCAGTGGAGTTCACAGTGTGGCCAGCAATCGCTCTCGCAGTTGAGTTCACACTGTGGCCAGCAATCGCTCTCCCAGTTGAGTTCACACTGTGGCCAGCAATCGCTCTCGCAGTTGAGTTCACACTGTGGCCAGCAATCGCTCTCGCAGTTGAGTTCACACTGTGGCCAGCAGTCTCTCTCGCAGTTGAGTTCACACTGTGGCCAGCAATCGCTCTCGCAGTTGAGTTCACACTGTGTGGCCAGCAATGGCTCTCGCAGTTGAGTTCACACTGTGGCCAGCAATCGCTCTCCCAGTGGAGTTCACACTGTGGCCAGCAATGGCTCTCGCAGTTGAGTTCACACTGTGGCCAGCAATCGCTCTCGCAGTTGAGTTCACACTGTGGCCAGCAATCCCTCTCGCAGTTGAGTTCACACTGTGGCCAGCAATCGCTCTCGCAGTTGAGTTCACACTGTGGCCAGCAATCGCTCTTGCAGTTGAGTTCACACTGTGGCCAGCAATCGCTCTCGCAGTTGAGTTCACACTGTGGCCAGCAATTGCTCTCCCAGTGGAGTTCACAGTGTGGCCAGCAATCGCTCTCGCAGTTGAGTTCACACTGTGGCCAGCAATCGCTCTCGCAGTTGAGTTCACAGTGTGGCCAGCAATCGCTCTCGCAGTTGAGTTCACACTGTGGCCAGCAATCGCTCTCGCAGTTGAGGTTGAGTTCACACTGTGTGGCCAGCAATCACTCTCCCAGTTGAGTTCACACTGTGGCCAGCAATCGCTCTCGCAGTTGAGTTCACACTGTGGCCAGCAATCGCTCTCGCAGTTGAGTTCACACTGTGGCCAGCAATCGCTCTCGCAGTTGAGTTCACACTGTGGCCAGCAATCGCTCTCGCAGTTGAGTTCACACTGTGGCCAGCAATCGCTCTCGCAGTTGAGTTCACACTGTGGCCAGCAATCACTCTCGCAGTTGAGTTCACACTGTGGCCAGCAATCGCTCTTGCAGTTGAGTTCACACTGTGGCCAGCAATCGCTCTCGCAGTTGATTTCACACTGTTGCCAGCAATCGCTCTCGCAGTTGAGTTCACACTGTGGCCAGCAATCGCTCTCGCAGTTGAGTTCACACTGTGGCCAGCAATCGCTCTCGCAGTTGAGTTCACACTGTGGCCAGCAATCGCTCTCGCAGTTGAGTTCACACTGTGGCCAGCAATCGCTCTCGCAGTTGAGGTTGAGTTCACACTGTGTGGCCAGCAATCGCTCTCCCAGTTGAGTTCACACTGTGGCCAGCAATCGCTCTCGCAGTTGAGTTCACACTGTGGCCAGCAATCTCTCTCGCAGTTGAGGTTGAGTTCACACTGTGTGGCCAGCAATCACTCTCCCAGTTGAGTTCACACTGTGGCCAGCAATCGCTCTCGCAGTTGAGTTCACACTGTGGCCAGCAATCGCTCTTGCAGTTGAGTTCACACTGTGGCCAGCAATCGCTCTCGCAGTTGAGTTCACACTGTGGCCAGCAATCGCTCTCGCAGTTGAGTTCACACTGTGGCCAGCAATCGCTCTCGCAGTTGAGGTTGAGTTCACACTGTGTGGCCAGCAATCACTCTCCCAGTTGAGTTCACACTGTGGCCAGCAATCGCTCTCGCAGTTGAGTTCACACTGTGGCCAGCAATCGCTCTTGCAGTTGAGTTCACACTGTGGCCAGCAATCGCTCTCGCAGTTGAGTTCACACTGTGGCCAGCAATTGCTCTCCCAGTGGAGTTCACAGTGTGGCCAGCAATCGCTCTCGCAGTTGAGTTCACACTGTGGCCAGCAATCGCTCTCGCAGTTGAGTTCACACTGTGGCCAGCAATCGCTCTTGCAGTTGAGTTCACACTGTGGCCAGCAATCGCTCTCGCAGTTGAGTTCACACTGTGGCCAGCAATCGCTCTCCCAGTTGAGTTCACACTGTGGCCAGCAATCGCTCTCGCAGTTGAGTTCACACTGTGGCCAGCAATCGCTCTCGCAGTTGAGTTCACACTGTGGCCAGCAGTCTCTCTCGCAGTTGAGTTCACACTGTGGCCAGCAATCGCTCTCGCAGTTGAGTTCACACTGTGGCCAGCAATCGCTCTCCCAGTGGAGTTCACACTGTGGCCAGCAATCGCTCTCGCAGTTGAGTTCACACTGTGGCCAGCAATCGCTCTCCCAGTTGAGTTCACACTGTGGCCTGGCCAGCAGTCTCTCTCGCAGTTGAGTTCACACTGTGGCCAGCAATCGCTCTCGCAGTTGAGTTCACACTGTGGCCAGCAATCGCTCTCCCAGTGGAGTTCACACTGTGGCCAGCAATCGCTCTCGCAGTTGAGTTCACACTGTGGCCAGCAATCGCTCTCCCAGTTGAGTTCACACTGTGGCCAGCAATCGCTCTCGCAGTTGAGTTCACACTGTGGCCAGCAATCGCTCTCCCAGTGGAGTTCACACTGTGGCCAGCAATCGCTCTCGCAGTTGAGTTCACACTGTGGCCAGCAATCGCTCTCCCAGTTGAGTTCACACTGTGGCCTGGCCAGCAGTCTCTCTCGCAGTTGAGTTCACACTGTGGCCAGCAATCGCTCTCGCAGTTGAGTTCACACTGTGGCCAGCAATCGCTCTCCCAGTGGAGTTCACACTGTGGCCAGCAATCGCTCTCGCAGTTGAGTTCACACTGTGGCCAGCAATCGCTCTCCCAGTTGAGTTCACACTGTGGCCAGCAATCGCTCTCGCAGTTGAGTTCACACTGTGGCCAGCAATCGCTCTCGCAGTTGAGTTCACACTGTGGCCAGCAATCGCTCTCGCAGTTGAGTTCACACTGTGGCCAGCAATCGCTCTCCCAGTGGAGTTCACACTGTGGCCAGCAATCGCTCTCGCAGTTGAGTTCACACTGTGGCCAGCAATCGCTCTCCCAGTGGAGTTCACACTGTGGCCAGCAATCGCTCTCGCAGTTGAGTTCACACTGTGGCCAGCAATTGCTCTCCCAGTTGAGTTCACACTGTGGCCAGCAATCGCTCTCGCAGTTGAGTTCACACTGTGGCCAGCAATCGCTCTCGCAGTTGAGTTCACACTGTGGCCAGCAATCGCTCTCGCAGTTGAGTTCACACTGTGGCCAGCAATCGCTCTCGCAGTTGAGTTCACACTGTGGCCAGCAATCGCTCTCCCAGTTGAGTTCACACTGTGGCCAGCAATCGCTCTTGCAGTTGATTTGGGCGCCCTCCCTTCTTCTCCTCCCCCCACACCATTCTGCCACACCTCCCACCGCCGTCCACCCCTCCGCCCCCTGTCACACCCTCCCCCAGATCTGCCTCCCTCTGCCCAGTGCGGTGGTGCCTCATGCACATGGGTGCACGCATCCCCCGCCCCTGTGACAGCAGGCACCCCACGCTCCTCTGCGCCTCACTTAGGGGGGCCTGCCTGCTTCACATTCCCCGATTCCCCTCGCTCTTTTCTTCCCTGCTCGTTGCCACAGGCCGTGGACGTGGACCACCCCCACCCCTGCACATTCGGCCACCCCACGCTCCTGCACGGGTCACTCAGGCTCACCTATTTGCCCCACCCTTCCCCTTGCCCTCAACCCCCGCCCCCTCCGCCAGAGCCACAGGGACGTGGGGCTGGACCTCCACCACCCCTCTCACTACAGCTACCCAGCCCACCCACCTGTGCGGCTCACTCAGAGAGACCTACCTGCTTCCCCTTTCCGTTTCCCCTTCGCTCGCTCCTGACTTCTCTGCCCAGAGCCACAGGGATGTGGGGCTGGACCTGCCGCACCCATTTGACTTCAGCTACCCCGCCCACCTGTGCGGCGCGCTCAGAGAGACCTACCTGTCTCTCAACGACCGCATCCGCCAGGCGTGCCGAGACGAGGCACAGGCCACTGCTGCAGCACAAGCCGCTGCTGCAGCTGCAGAGGCTGCTGCCAAGTCCGCTGCTGCTGCTGCTGCTGCTGCTGCATCTAGCTCAACCCTTATGCCTCCCTCCCCTCCTCTCCCTCCGGGTGCCTCTCCTGCCCCTCCACCGCCTCCTCCTCCCTTTCCCCCCCTGCCTTCCCCTCCGCCACCTCCTCCCCCTCCTTCACCCGCGTCTGCCTGTCGTACCATCTCCTTTGACGGCTCGCACGAGGGCTTTGGAGACACCGTCTTCGGCCTCGCGTCTACCTTTGCCATCGCGCTATTGGACGAGAGGGCGCTCGTGTTACGCCAGGACTGGCTACCACTCGCCTTTGAACCCGCCTCCTTCGACTGGCGTGTCACACCCGACATCCCTCAACATCCCTTCATAGTCATCCCCACAACTAACATAACCAGCCCCGATTACAACCCTTTCAATCCAGCCAGCTCAGCTCCCAACCCTAGCAATCTACCCGGCCTATCGGCACCTGTCAGCTCAGCACCAACGCCGCCTCAAATCCCCGCTATAGCGCGGGTGAGCCTGCACAACCAGTGGGTGGACCCAGAGCCCTTCTTCTCGAAGCTCTCAGGCGTGGCGCACCTGGGCCTCTCATGGAACCGCGGCGTGCTCTTCCACCTGCTCGCCCGCTCCAACGGGTCGTGGGGCGAGCGGCTGAGAGCCGTGGGGCTCACGCCGCCCTACGCCTTCTCCTGTGTCATGCGCCTCCTGCTCAGGTCAGCTGCTTGCTGCTCAGGTCGGCTGCTTGCTGCTCAGGTGGGTTAAGAAGGTTGATGATTCGAGTTGCTGCTCAGGTGGGCTGTTTGCTGCTCAGGTGGGTTGCTTGCTGCTTAAGAATTTCTAGGCGCTTTGTTTTTCCAGTGCGTGCCAGCGTGTGTGTGAGAGCAGCTTCCTTGCTGTCCTCTTTCAAGAGGAACAGGAGCACGCCAGTGCGGTGGAACACAAGCAGCACCGTCCCCCTCCTGGGCGTCCTCCATCGTTCCCGCCACTACGCGTTCCCGCACCTCTCCCGTGCCTCTTCCCAGACCAAAGCCCGAGGCTTGGCAACTGATGCGTGGCATGGCGGAGCAGCTGCACTGGAGCCCGCAGCAGCAGCAGCAGCAGCAGCAGCAGCAGCACCAGCAGCGGCGCAGTGTGGCCATAGGCATTCACATGCGTGTGGCCGATGGGGAGGTGTGGGAGCACAAGAGCAAGCTGGGCACTCCAAAGATCCTCAACAACTCACAGGTCCATGCAACCTTGTTTCCAAATGTTTTGACCAACGACATGTCATGCCAACCAGACAAACCCCTACAAAAGGCGCATTTTGTTTTTCACTCCTCGCATGCTCTTCAAGGCCGTGTGTTGCTCATAACGGGACAGGCTCTCTGCGTCCAACTTGCCTGGCGGCTCTTGCTGTCACAACCACTTCCATTCACGCTCTCCTCGTTCTTTGAGCACACTTTTAATCCGCACGTTAAAAGCACCCCCCCTCCTCTCAAAAGCGCTTCCCTCTTCTCAAAAGCATCTCCTTCTTTTCAAGCACACCCACCCCCTCTCAAAGCGACTCCGTCCGCTCTCTCCGCCTCTCCGCCCTCGCAGGTGGACCACCTGCTTCAGCAGGCCCAGCGGGTCTTCGACTGCGCCCAGGTAAGCTTCTAGGAACACTGCAAGGGAGTGGGTGGCTGGAATAAGGACAAGGCAAGAAGGTTGAGGGAGGTGGGAAGGGGAGGATTTGCATGAGGGGTGATAAACTGTACGGGTGTGTGGGCGCACTTTCTTCAACACCTTCAATCCATGTCCATCAGCTGTCAACTATTCCGCCTGGTGTGTCCCTCCATGGACTCAAGAGGCCATGCGAGGCCGTCGTTTCGCTCATCAGCAGCAGGAGGTGGAGTGGTGGCGGACCGTGGCCGGTGGGAAATCGGGTTTTTGTTAGAAGCTCAGTGCAGGGTTAACCATGATGGTAGAATGCGTTGCGAGGCAGCGGTTCTGAGTTCGAGCTCGAGCTTAAAAGAATGAAACCGTGCAGCTCAGTGCAGCTCAATGCTTGCTCGAAAAACCGTGTTTTTTTCAAGAACTCAGCACAGCTTGATGGCCTTCCTTCCGCTGAAGCTTCATCTGATCCTCGTGCTGCTGCTCTCTCTTCATTTGCGGCCAGGCGGTGGAGCGGTGGTGGCGGCCGGCCTCCCTGGGCGTGAGGTGGTTCTTCATGTGCAACTCCCTGCAGCTGAAGCAGGCCGTGCAACGCAAGTTCCCAGACAAGGTCACTCCTTTCATCGTACACCGGCTGATTTGTAGAGCTCGAGTCCCAGATTGCAAGCGTTGAGGCTAAGTGCTCAGAAGCTTCGCTAGGTTACCAGGTGTCCCCAGCGACTGCCCCTGGTTCTCACTCCTCTGGTTCACTTGCCTCATGCCCCTGGTTCTCATGCCCCTGGTTCTCTTGCCCCTGGTTCTCACGCCTCTGGTTCTCACGCATCTGATCTCACACATCTCTACTAAGATAAGTTCACGCCTCATGCATGAGACGGCGAGAGTCGTAGGACTGCATTGGGCAGGGGCCTTTGACTAGGCTTTGACAAGGCAGCTGACCACACACGCAACTCCATCTCCACCCCCTTCTCCTCCCCCTTCCTCCCTTCCCCATCTCACTTGCAGGTCGTGGCATCGCCCTTCATCCCGCGCCACGTGGACCACACGCGCGACGCCAACTCCACTGCCCCCAACCACACTGGGCCGCCTGACTGGTACCAGGAAACGGTGGCCGAGTGGCTTCTCTTGTCCTCTAGCGACTATTTTGTTGTCCCTCTGTCTGGGTTCTCCCGCTCAGCCGTGCTTTACTCCATGCGACCGTCTGTTGTGTTTATGCCGCACAAGTGCGCGCCCGACTCACCTGTGCCGCTCTCAGAGATGGCAGAAACAGGTTGTGGGGTGTGACCTGGAGCTGGCTGTGACTTCCTTCCCCGGATCTGCTGTGCTCTGCTTCATGTGGCCCTCCGTTGTTTCTTTTCCCATAAGTGCACGCCTAATGCTCCTGTTCCTTTGACAGGCCAACCAGAGGCAGGGTGTGGGGTGACATGTCACCGGCGGTGACAGGGTGGGCGTCTCCCGCTCTGCCGTCAGATGCCGTCGGATCGCACCAGCCAGACAATCCGGCGGTCCTCATGTCATCCTGGCAGGCCCTATGATTGGTTTTGGGGCACGCTGATTCATCATCCTAGCCACCCGGACTAGGGCTGATTTTTCAGCCCCCCTGCTGTGCGGAAAGGCTGATTATGTCAAACATATGTGTATATGTTACTATAGGCTAGATAGGTACTTTTAAAGAGTACAAAACCTTAGGTTATATTCCCTTGTACCCCATCATTCTAGTAAATCTTTCTACTGTGAGATGGTATCACGCTAGGTTAGGATCCTGTCCACCCGCGCTTCCGCCCTAGTCCTAGCCCTAGCCCGAGCCGTCTGTCGCTAGCCGCCCGTTCCTAGCCGACCGTCGCTAGCCGCCACTGCTAGCTGCTCGTTGCTCACCGCCGCTGGCCACCCGTCGCCTGTAGCCACCAGCTGCCCGCCGCCCGTCGCCCGTAGCCCGTCGCCGCTAGCCGCCTATCACCGCTGGCAACCCGTAGCCGCGAGCCACCCATAGCCGCCAGCCCGCTGGCCACCCTTAGCCGCCAGCTGCTCGCCGCCCGTCGCTGCCGCCAATAGCCACCAGCTGCCCGCAGCCCGAGGGCCGCCTGTCGCCGCTGGCCGCCCGTCGCCGCCAGCCCGCCCGTAGCCACTGGCCGCCCGTTGCCGCCAGCCGCCCGTCACCGCCTGCCGCCCGTCCCCGCTGGCCGCTCGTTGCCGCCAGCCGCCCGTCCCCGCTGGCCGCCCATTGCCGCCAGCCCGCCCGTAGCCGCTGGCCCGCCTGTAGAAGCCCGCCCGTAGCCGCCAGCCGCCGCCCCCACACCGCTGGCCTCAGCTCCGCCGGTCCCAGCGCACCCTGGCCCTTCGTACCGCCGAGCCGAGCTGACCCGCCGGCCTTGGCTTCCCCTCTGAGTTGGCGCTCTCGCCGGCAGTCTCCACCGCTCCCCACCACACTCCACCGTATTACACTGCTCTCCACTACTCTCCACCGCTCTCCACTGCCCTCCTCCGCTTTCCCTCCTCCCCTTGTCACCGGCAGTCAGCTGCTGCAGCCGTGGTGATGGCGGACTCTCTGCTCCGTTTGGACGCGGAGGGTCGAGCCGTTGAGTTTGAGGCGTGGCTCGTCGACCTCTGCCGCCAGCTGACCGAGCAGCGCCAGGACGGCCACTCCCTGGCCGTCCATGTCGACGGTAAGCTCCCTCGCCCCCCCCTGCTTGCTGCCCTCCCTGATGCCTCCATGTCTGCTGAGCAGCCCTGGAGCAGCAGCAGCAGCCTCCGCAGCAGCAGCAGCAGCCACCGTGGGGTCCCCCGCCGCCGTGGTGGCTTGGTGGCCCTGTTGGTGGTCGTCGTGGTGGTGGGCCGCACAGCTCGGTGTCAGGTGGCGGCTCCAGTGTGGCCACCTGCCAGTACCAGCTTCAGTCTGGCCCCCGCCGCGGCACTGTCTCCGACAGTCCTGGTCAAACCGCTGCCCGTTGCTACCGCCGCCTCGACGACCTCTTCCGTCTCCGCTTTGGTCCCACGCCGGACCCTCCTGACTGGTACGCCCTGGTGCGCCGTCGTGTGCCTGTCTTTGAGCTTGACATAGATTAGATTAGGACTGCTATGCATGTCATGTATGCTGATGACTCTAGTGTGAATGGACCCTATTACCCGGTGTTGCCTAGTGCAGGAGTGTCCACGGAGTGTAGTCTAGTCTCCTCTGCTGTGTCAGGCGTAGGACCACCCGCCTTGTTTCACCTCGGCACCACGCTGGCTCCTCCGCCTGCGACCGCTACCGCCGCGCGAGAGTTTACGCTAGACTATGGTGCGTCCGTCTGCTTCTTTCACGACCACACTGTGCTCACGCCGCTTGCTGCCCCTGCCGCTGTAGCGCTTGCTGACCCCTCCTCAGGTCCAGTAGTTGCACGTAGCTCGACTACCCTTCCCTGTCCAGCGGTTCCCTCGGGCTCTCTTACAGGCTTGCATATCCCCTCGTTCTCCAGGAACCTAGTTGGTGTCGGCTGTCTTCAGGAACTCGGCGTCACCACTACGTTTCTTAGACACGAGAGGTACACAGTCTGTACTGAGGCCACCACTGGTGCACCTCTCACCACATTCCCCTGGGACCCCGTGTCTGGCTTGTTCACGCTGGACACAGTGTGCCCCCCGGTCAGAGCGTCCCCCCAGGTCGCCGCGTCCTCCCATGTAGCTGCAGCATGTTCGTGTTGGTCACTCACCCACCCTTCACTACTGTGGCACCACCACCTAGGTCACCCCGCACTCCCGTGTCTACGTCATATGTCCCATCACGGGCTTGTCTTCGGTCTCCTGCATTGCTCCCTGCCCTCCCTCCCTCGCCTGCGCCGCCGTGCACGCCTTGCGTCGAGGGCCGGCTGCGCCATGCTCCTCACTCCTCCTCGCTCCCCCCTACCACTGCACCACTCCAGACCCTGCACCTGGACGTTTGGGGCCCAGCCCTCATCCTGGGACCGCGTCGAGAGCGCTACTTTCTAGTGCTTGTCGACGACTACACGCACTACATCACGGTGTTTCCCCTGGAGCGAAAGGCCGACGTGCCTCACGTTCCTATCCCGTGGGTCATAGCTGCACGAGTCCACCGCGGCCTCCTGGTGCTGCGTCTCCACTCCGATCGTGGTGGCGAGTTTGCGTCCGGTTGGCTTGGCCAGTTCTGTCGTGCTGAGGGCATCACCCAGTCGTACACCCTGACGGACTCCCCGCAGCAAAATGGGGTCGCTGAGCGACGCATCGGTTTGTTCATGGAGGTGGCTCGTACCTCCATGATCCATGCTGGTGCACCCCATTTTCTATGGTCGTTCGCTGTTCGCTACGCCGCTCACCAGCTTAACCTGTCGCCACACTCCCAGCGGCCGCAGGCTTCGTCGACCTTTCTCTGGACCGGGTTCTCTTGTGATGCGTCTACGTTCCACGTCTGGGGCTGCCTTGCTCACGTTCGTGCCTCTGGCACAGACAGGCTCACTGCCCGCACCATCCCTTGTGTCTTCCTTGGTTTCCCCATTGACGCATCTAACTAGCAACTTTACCACCCCCCGTCTCACCGTTTCTTTCACTCACGTGACGTCACTTTTGACGATTCTGCCTCCTTTTACACCCGCTTTCCCCACCACGGTCTCCTGGTTGCCCCGCCCCTGTTCCTGGTCCCCACTCCCGCGATAGCCCCTGCTCCTCTTCATTCCCATCTTGTCCTGTTTGGTGTGTCGCACGTCACTCCCCTCCCATCAATTGTCCTGGTGGAGGAGTCGGCTGACTCCGAGGCCCCCATGGCTTCGGTTTCACCGCCTTTCTCTGACCCGGTGTCTCCTCCTCCACCGCCGCCGCACCAGCCGCCGCCGCCGCCGCCACCGCCGCCGCCGCCGCAGCCGCAGCAGTAGTCGGCGACATCGCAGCCGCAGCCATAACCGCCGTCGCCGCTACCGTAGCAACAGCCGCCGCAGTGGTCCGCGAGCTCTGGGGGTGTTGGCGTTGAGGAGGGTGCTAGTCCTGGGGGTACTATCGTGGCTTGTCCCAGCGGTCCTGAGGGTGGCACCTGTTGGTGCAACCCTATGGCTTGCACTCGGCTTGTCGTCCTTGTTTGTGTGTGTGCATGCATGGCATGGAATGAATTGTGAGTCTATGTCATTGCTATCCAGTGCTTGTGTGTGTGTTTGAATGGTGTATCACAATGTGGTTTGTGTCGGTCAAGACATTAGCGAGTTTTTACAACTCGCATGTCAAGTCGTCGTTTGTGTGTCGCATGTGTTTTTTCTATTTTGTCGAGTGTGAAGTGTCCATCGCGTCGCAGGTGTGTGCAGCAAGCCCCCATCAACTCAAGAAGAATTTATCTTGCAGATCCAGGAACAAGAGCTCAAGATTTCAAGCCCAATGGACGCGGATAAATATTAAATAGTGAAAATAGTAACGTTACTTCGTGTAGTGTTACATTTCACTTGGTGTAGCCCCTTGGAGGGTTGGTTTCGAGACTCTTCATGGTTGGGGACTCTGTGGTGGTGTACCACCAACCTGGACCTCGGCTCTTGGGGTATGTAGAGGCTGGGAACCATCTCCCTCTCGAATTCTTCTTTCTAAGTTTTTTGTACTCCTAAGACTATAGTGGCTGCTGTACCTCCTGCCAGTCAAACCGCCATAGCGTCGTCAAATCTTCATGGAATTTCATGATTCAGCTTGTGGCTGATAGACGACAAAAATGCGCTCCAGATCCAATTTACAGATCACCGTTTGATTCAGTGACCAGATCGTTATCAGTATTTGAAGCCGTCTAACGGAAATGCGACTATGCTCTCTATCTCTCATTATAGGCACATCTAAGCCTATTGTGATTATAACAAGTGGTATCAGAGCCCCTTGGAGCCGTCTCGATCATGCCTAGACCTGAGGAAGGGGTTGGCAGAGGTGCTGGAGGTAGAGAAGACGCCCAAGCACAAGGTCAACACCAAGATCCACCCGTTGCTCCGGTGCAACCTAGCCTTGGACCCTCAAGGGATGAGGCTAGAGTGTTTGGCCTTGACAAGTTCAACGGTGACAACTTTGCTGAGTGGTCCTTCAAGATGGAGAACATCTTTGACCACTATGATCTGCTGGAGGTGATGGAAGGAACGGAGAAGCGCCCCGAGAACGACCCGGAGAAGAGCCCGTGGGTGCGGAAGAGCGCACAAGGCTACCTTCTACTTGGGCAAGCGTTGGGGAGCAGCCAAATCCGTCACATCAAGCCTTTTCAGCGTGAACCAGCAAAGGGACCAAAGGCATGGGCTGCTCTCAAGGGTGTACACGCTCCTGCAACAGCGGCGGTGGCTGTGGTTTTGGAGCGGCAAATGGCGGCACTTCGAATTGACGAAGGCGAACCGGTGGAGGAAGGAGTGCAGAAATTCTTCGACTTGTTGACACGGCTCGAAGGAGCTGACCTGAACTACAGTGACCTTCAAAAGAAGACCAAGCTGCTAGCCTTACTTCCGGACTCATGGTCCTCGCTCATCATCAACCTTAATCGAGATCTGCCCCGTCTCTCACTCGAAGATGTGAAGCGGGAAATCTTACAAGAAGATTTCCGCCGTCGCGAATTGGCGGGTCCCGATGGTGCCGGAGTTGCAAGCATGGGCCGTGGGCACAGCCGTGGAAGGGGCAGAGGGCGAGTAGGCAGATTTGGCAGCAGCAATTTCAATGGAGGCCGTGGTAATGGAGGATATGGCAGCAACAACAATGGCTACGGGCATGGGCGCGGTCGATTTGATGGCGAATGCCACTTTTGCCAC